GTTTTTAAATTGCCATCTCTTTCCCTTGAACTCTGTAGAAATACAACCATTTTATATATACTAGGTCAGTTATCCAAACCACAATTCTCTTTCAAGGCCTTTTAGCCATTCTACATAGAATAGTAGAATGACATTTGCTATCACCCTTACATTTAAAATACCTGACAGTCAAAATAAAGGTCACATTAACAAGTCTCAAATATACCAATCAAAAAACATTTTACAAACCTTCTTATAGCTTTCCTCTAGTCATACTGTAATAATATGTTTCACACCTTAGGAAAAGTTTTTTTTCATACTCATCATTAATCAGGAAATATTCCAGAACAAGCGAACAAGCCTTAACTTTCCATGGCTATTTGAACATTCCACTTTGATCATATGTATATGATCTATTATTTACTTTAGAAGAAATGTAGGCTATAAGTAATGCCACAATTTTATCTAAGTACCATGAATGGAATACTTTTTTAAATAAGAATTTCAACAGTGAGGAATAATCTATTCATCAAATAATTTATAGATTGTTCCTGGTAGGAATCATGGGTTCTCTCTTATAGGCAGATAATAGGAATTTTCAACTGTCCCTGATATTTCCAATACAGATTCCTGGCTTTTAAGGTATAAACAAGGGTGATCAACTTTTGTTCAGGGAAACTCAAAGTCCAATTAAAAAAAGGGAACAAGAGCAATTCTTAATATTGCAGCATTATCATAGCATACAATACTTTGTTTCAACACAGTTTGAATGGACTGTAATATTAAACTGTTATTCAGCATTTTTCTCTCTCCATTGGAAATGTCTCATGGTCTTATTAAGGCTCATAGCCTCTGCATTAATCAAAAGATTAAGAATTACATCAAATGCATCAATATTTGTAAAATTTTTTCCTCAAATTGCCCACTGCAAGATAATAGCAACCCTTCCAATTTTCCACTCTCCAGATAAATCAACCCCACTTTGCAAGGGAATTTTCACTTAAGCAAATGAGTAAGCAACTTCTACCATTTAAATCCTGTGTAAGCAAAAATCTATTTTTTTTTACATTTTCTTACATGGTATTGGGTATTTTTTACAAAGTGAATTTAGACCACATTCACCAAATTCCTTTGCATAGTAAAAATTTCCTTTGCTTAGTCAATAGCTTAAATATTTTTGGTAAATAAACCCCTTTATTTTAAGACTATGTAAGAATATATACTGTACATGCAGATTTTGAATACTATGAGTGAAAAGCCTTTCAGGGCACATTCAAAACTGCATTGATGTTTGTTGCATTGAGACATCACTTTCACTTTTCACAGGGGGTGGACTTCATTTAGATCAGCACTGATCCCCTGCTGATAGGAGCAGAGTGGGCAGATGACAGGTCTATGTTCACTTAGCTTATGCAGAGCTTACAAGGACATAGCACACTCTGCTCTATGGGCGACTGTTTGTACAAAAATCTCTGAAGAAAGTGGCTCAAGTGCTACAGACAGTCATTTTATGTTCGCTGTTCATAATGATGGGAATAATCTTTCAGAAGGAGATTTTGTGGTTAGCTTACTAGAGAGGCAAAACAAGTGCCTCAAACACTAATATTTTGTCCTTTTTACACCCAGACATCACTTAGGCATTCAATTGCAGCATCAAATACATTTAATAATGAGGCATACAACACATTCATTTAATAGAATTTGCATATAGAAATTTGTACCAATGGATTTTGAAGGAATTAATTCTAGGACCTCCATTAGGAGACCTGGAGCCCCTTTTATTTGAGTTCTGAATTAACTCAGTTTGACTTCTGTGGGTTGTTGCACTTTGGTCATTGTCATTGCTGTCTGCGCTGCTTTAATTGGTACACCATAAGGCTTTTTATTCAACACAACCTGCAAAGAGCAATTTTGTTCAGTCACCCATAGAAACCAATTTGAATCCATTTTTACTGGTCTGACGGCTGTAATGCACTGAAAGATGAAATCTGGTGTGTTGCTATCACACTATACATTGTTTAATTACAAATTAAGGACTTTAGAAATCAGGGAGAAGATAAATGCAATTAAAGGACTTTACTTAGAATATAATTTGTTTTTTAAGTATGCGGTAGGAGAGAAAAATGTTACACAAAACTATAGTTTTCAGTACATATAATATTTCAGTGTGCCTTTAAATAGTTATATTTCTTTAGCATGACAGTACTGTTTCTTTACGTTCCTTAGAACATTAGCACCCAGTATATGAAACTCAATTTCCCCTTCATTATATACTTGGAAAGCAGAGTGTTCTGAATAAGTACACAGTATAAGCAAAGTATCAGTATAAGCGAAAATATATTGAAAACAGAGGCCCTTTTCTAACTAAAAATAATATTATACAAGCTTTATACATTGTTGCCCATGAAAAAGAAAATAAAAACTTGCACAGCACAAGGTTGCACAGATGGAATCTTGTGTCAGAGCAAACACAGTTGGCCTTAGGCTTGAGCAAGAATGTCCAGGAGTCTTCATTATAGTTGCTTAGAAACACCACCATTTCACAGTGGAATTATGTTTTTCAAAGAAATGAAATGCTCTGAGTGGTTATACAGAATATCAGCAATCCACATGTAGTGCTCACCTAATTGGATAGTTGGCACAGAAAGCGTTAAACACTTTTGCGGCAGGGTTTTAAATGTTTAGACCATATAATTAGTAGCCCATTCAGACTGTTACATTCCATTGTGTTGTACTATCCCAGGTTGTGGGTTGCAAACACATTGCAATCCAGGTTAGTCCTGCACACACACAAATCTCAGATGGTTCACATTTGTGCATTATGGTGCTCTAAAGCACTGTTTCTTAACTTTTTTCAGTCAAGGCACCCTTTAAAATTATGGACAGCCCTGAGGCACCCTTTAAAATTATGAACAGTCTTGAGGCACCCCATTTCAAAATAGGGTGCCTCTAGACTGTCCATAATTTTAAAAGGGTACCCCATTCTAAAATGTGAAAAACTATTATAATGGTTTTATATAATGCAGCAATATTCACACATGTAGGACACCCAACATTGGAGGTGATTTATTTTTCCAAAGCAAGCACATTTTTGCACACTGGTAATGAGTAGTATTCCAGTGTTTCTCTTCTTCAGTTTTTCTCCATCACTGAGCTAATGTGACCCCAGCACTGATGGAGAAGGGCAGGGGAGGGTCAAACTAAGATGTTGTGCAGGCAGCTGACATCCTTATCAAATGATGATGTCATTGGTCGTCAGAAGGTTGTAATGGTGCACAATGAAAACCTGTGGCTTTGTGTAACTAAAAGGCTGGCTTGTTTCACCTGCTGGCTTGTATACAAGTTTTGGGCAATTTTTAGACATTTTGCAAAGGTACCCCTGAAGAAACCTCAAGGCCTGGGCACCCTGGTGAAGAAAGGCTGCTCTAAAGAGCATACACATTATTGTGTGCTGGGTAGAGGCATTGGGGTGCCATTAAAATTGAATGGACCTGCAACACACCACATTCAGTCTTGTACTTTACTGTGCACTGTGGTAACATGTAAAACAACAGTGAAATTGTTGTAAAATGTGCATTTTATGGTGTGCTACCTCAACAATATAGTCTGAATAAGACCACAATGTAGTTTATATTGATCTATAGGCAATCCACTGATATTTACATAGTTTAAACTGCTAGGTTTGCCTTTTGAAAAAAATAATAAATGCATATCTTTTGCAAGTACAAAAATATGCATATATTATTTTTTTTGTAAGGAGTCTGAAGAGCATTGCACCCATGATCAGGAGATTGCTGGTGCAATGTCAGGCTGCTGCAGAATTTCAGGATAGCTGTCTACTCGCATCTCTGATACAGGCAGGCAGTTACTTGAAGAAAGGTCAATGAACTACAAAAGCAATCACCCACACCCTCATAGTTCATTGAGATCTACAAGCCATCAGCTGCAATGGATGACAGTACTTGTAGTCTCTTTATTGTCAGGTAACATGTAACATGTTTTAGCTCCTGCTTCCAGCACCCTCGATCCCCTCCCAAGTGACAGCGGCTGGGGTTTCTTCTCCCACACACCAGCTCTCACATTTCAAAATCAGAACAACTTTGATTGGCTCCACCTAACCATTTTCCCTCCAGAGAATTTCCCCCTGTCCTGACCAGGCCATTTTTTGTGATGTGTAACTTTAACTGACAATTGCATGGTCATGCAACACTGCACCCAAACAAAATGTATGTCCTTTTTTCTCACAAATGGAGCTTTCTTTCAGTGGTATTTGATTGCTGCTGAGACTTTTATTTTTTGCGCTATAATCAAAAAAAGACCAACAATTTTGAAAAAAAAAAACTATATTTTTTATTTTTTCTAGAAACATATCCAGTAAAAAATTTATAAAAATCAAATTTCATCAAATTTAGGCCAATGTAGAATAAATGTATTCTGCTACATGTTTTTGCTAAAAAAAAATCCCAATGCTTGTAAATTAATTGGTTTATTATGTCTACAAATGACGGTATATATACTGGAATTTTTTTTTCTAAACAAGTAATGGTGGCAATCAGTGACTTATAGCAGGACTGATGGACTGTGGCAGGCATTCTGACACTGGGGGGGAACTGACTAACTAATACAGTGATCAGTGCTAATAAAAAGCAGTGACACTGTATTAATGACACCGGGCAGGAAGGGGTTAACATCTGCGGCAATCAAAGGGTTAACTATGTGCTGTGTGTTGTTTTGTGTTGTACAAAGCATCATACTGGTGCTGACAGGGGAGAGATCTATATTGTTTACATACGGACCTCTCCCTTGTCCGTGTTCCTCAGCAATTGTCAGGTGCTGGCGGGGAATCTCCGGCCAGGACACTGTGTTCAACAGCTGTATCCAGCAATGGCGGCATGGGTGCCGTGGGTGGCAGCGGAAATGCAAAAATCACGTATATATAGGTGATTTTGTGCAGCTCTGCTGGCCTGTAGCAGTAGATCTGCTATAGGGCAGTCAGGAAGCAGCTAATCAGCTGCGTCGTTTGTTCACAGAAATCTTCACACAGAAAGTTCAATCTGACACCTCAACAGACAGCTTGTAGTTCTCAATGAACTGGGAGGGCTCTGATGAGCACCCTTGTACTTCATTCACACTCCTTCCAGCTTTCAAACTGACAGTCTGTACAGAGGTACAAGCAGGGGCAGACTGACAACTCATGGGGCCCCTGGGCAATAGGGGATCATGGGGCCCCTGTGTCCTTGCCCAAACTCAAAAAGGCCTATGAAAAAGGTACCAGGGGCATCTCATGGGGCCCCCTACTGACCCAGGGCCCTCGGGCAGTGCCCCGGTTTCCAAATGGTTAGTCCGCCTTTAGGTACAAGCAAGAAATCTGGCCTGACATTGCACCTGCAATCCACTGATCATGGGTGCAATACTCTGCAGCCTCTTGTGAAAAAAAATAATAAATGCACTTTTTTTGCAAAAAATATTGTAGTTTTTATCATTTTATTTAGTGCTAATGTTACAGCTTTTACCTAATTTATTATGTATGCTTACACTTTTAGTTCTACATTTAAAGAAAATACATTTTTGCTGAATTAATATGTTTCTATAAAAAAATGTACAAAAATATGGTTCAACTGCTCCCATATTTTCTTATGCAGTTTGGTGCCCTTTGTTTTTGTATTTAGGTGTGTGCAAAACACGTTCCTATGGCCTCTTTTTTTTCTGTTGTTTTCCCCCTACACAGACCCTTTTTACATTACTATATCAACACTACTAACTGAAAAGCAACTTTAGCTTCCTTTTAACTCAGTTCTATTTAAATCGTTCTGTTCTGCACACTCTGAAGTCATTGTATATGTATAACAATGTAGCTGAATGACGCTCCAGGAAAAATGGCAAGGCATCTTATTTGCTTTATCAATGTTTTTGACTGAAGTCAAGTGGAACAACAGAAATGATTATGAACTATAATGCATGAATAGAAACCCATCCAAAATATTTGTTGACAAAACATTGTGTTATGAACTTCTGATGTGCAGTATTCACATAATGAATTATATAATGCATCCATTGTAACCCAAAAGGAAACATATAATTCTAGTTTACAAACATATGGTAAGTTTTTGTAAGCAATTTTCAAGAGAAAATTTTGCTCTTCTAGCAATATTATCTTTTAATATGTATTTAGCATCACAAATACATGCCTTTTGTTGTATTGCAATAAAAATGTAAACAAGCCTAAAAATTAAAAAAAAAATGGAAATAATGTAATTTTGCATGTATCTCCTGTACTTTATTGTGATATTATAATTGAAATTAATTTTCTGTTACTTTATAATTTTTACCACCCACTTGTCGATTCATTAATTTCTTTTGCTTTCTTTTGGCTTTCTTTCCTCCTTATGCTGGTCATACATTATGCAATTGTCTTTCCTTTAGCAATGGGTCGAAGGAAGAAAATTGCTTGATTCCTCTATCAACACAGTCAATGTTGATGGGGGAATCCCTCCTGCTGCTCTACTGTATTCTGACAGTGGGAGGTTTCCCCACTGTCAGAATACTATGATCACTGCTGCCAGCTATAGCCAGTGGCAATGATCATATAAAAAAAACAAACAAAAAAACAACAAAAGGCTAGTTGTACTGAGAGATCAACTTCAGTACAACCAGTCTGCCTATACATGGATTGAAATTCGTCCGGATCTGTCTATGTCTGGCTTTGCTCTATTTATCTCACTTTCTTTTTATTATTTCTTTCCTTACCAATGTCCCCTGCTTTCTTATCCTTCCCTTGCTTCCCATCTTGCATATGCTTTTTCTAAAGAGACAGAGAAAGTTCAAGATTAGAAAAACTCCTGGTGAAGAACTGTAGCACATTCGAAAACTCACAGTACATCTTATCTGTCCAACCTCTATGCGCTAACTTCTACATATGAGCCATAGAATAGTTGCCATTTCTCTGTCAAGGTTTTTTTAAATGTAATCTTTATTATTCAGTTTTAATAGAAAGGCATACAATAATAATAGCATGTAATGTACAGCGCTGAGCGAACTATTGGCGCTTTATAAATACTGTATAATAATAATAATAATACAGTCCATATGGTTAATGTCTAGAAACATCCAGTATATGTAGTACAATACAACATAATAGCATTACATTAATCCAAAGCTGGATGTGATCAGACGTTTTCCAAACAAAAACAGGTCTCAGTATTGAAATGTACATAATTTATTTTGAATAAAGAACTGTAGCACATTCGAAAACTCACAGTAAACCTTATCTGTCCAACCTCTATGCGCTAACTTCTACATATGAGCCATAGAATAGTTGCCATTTTTCAGTCAAGGCTTATTTAAATGTAATCTTTTTTATTCAGTTTTAACAGAAAGGCATACAATAAGAATAGCATGTGATACAGTCCATATGGCTAATGCTTAATAACATACAGTATATGTAGTAAAATACAACATAATAGCATTACATCAATCTAAAGCTGGAGGTGATCAGACATTTTCCAAAAAAACAGGTCTCAGTATTGAAATGTACATAATTTATTTTGAATAAAAATGGGAGTGGAGAAGAGGAATTTTTCTGACACCATTAAAGTAGGGTTTCACAGAAGTGTGTTAGTATCTGTTTGTTGGGGTAGCCTTACCAAAAAGGGTAAAATAATGAATTTAGAGAAATACAGAGGAAAATTATAGGGATGAAGAAAGAGAAGTGGGGTGTAGATAGGAGCAGAATTGAAAAACACAGCGGTAGGGGCGGGAGAGGGAGGGAGGGAGGGAGGGAGGGAAATAGGGGTATTAAGCTCTCTCCATCCTTTTCATACCTAGATGGTAGCAAAAGCTGTATTAATCAGCTAGTAAATCATTGAACTGTTGAGAGTGTCAAAATTTAGTCCAGGTTGCCCAAGTGAAAGTATGATAATTTCATCTAATGTTTGAGATGCATGATGGAATCCAACTCCGCAACCCATTCAGCCAGAGATGGAATCTGTAGCAATCGCCAATTTTTAGGGATAACTGTTTTCCTTGCAGTAAGGAAATGTGTAAGATGTATTTTTTAATTAGTTTAATTGCATCAGGAATAATTGACAACAAAGTGGTCATATTCATTATATTAGTGTCTCTCACTCTAAAATAAATCTGTAGAATTTGAACTCAGAATTGTTTGATAGCAGCACATCCCCACCATATGTGTGGAGTATGGCATGACTTACTTTTAATACAACATAAGCCTTTGCCAGCTGTGTTTTAAGAGAGAAAATCCCTGGAGTGTTACATTTTAGCTTAGGTTCACACTAGCACTGCTGCATAATCATGCGCTTTTTCATTGCATTTTGTGGTGCTTTATTGCATGATTTTACATGCTTTTTTATTGCATTTTCATGCTTTTTTAGTAGTGATAGCAGACTGGTAGTAAAATGCTGCAAAAAATGTATGAAAATGTATGTACAGTATTTGTTCTTCATGTATTTTTCATGAGGTGCCTATAGAGTCTATGGGGACAAAAATGCAATATGCTACACCAAAAGTAGCCCTTACACCTTATCACAAATTGCACTGAACCATGTTACATTTATATGAACAAGCCCCATAGTGGGGTTCATATGATTTTCAAGAAAATAATACTGGTTCTAGCATGTGTGGGAAAAATCTGTCCTGGACAGCAACTTGTTAAACATATACATACTGTATTCATATATATATATATATATATATATATATATACATATATACAGTATATATTATATATAACTTGACAAGTGATTCCTAGACAAGATATGGTGACAATTTCCTGTGTGCACTACAAAACAATTTCAATACAATGTTAAAAAGGAAAGAGGCAATTGAACTTGAACATTTAGAGGCCTATTTATAAAACGTATGTTGGAGGAATGTCACACATTACTGCGTGCTCTACACATTTTGGCTATAATTACTCTAATATATTAATCTATGATCATCAGCTTCATATAGTGCCCAAAATGCAATATATTTTCTCTTTTTGAAATCTATATCACATTTTGGCCAATAGATGGAGCTGAAGATATAGGAATGAAACTATTAGAGAAATTACCGTCAAAATTCTTTGGGCATGCACAAATGTGGGTGACATTCATCCAATGAATGTTTTAGAAGTACATCCTTTATTACTCCTGTTTAGAATGTTACACAATGACTCCTCCTAAGACCTATGAGTGCCTCATTTGTGTGTGAGTTTGTATGGTGTGGGAGATGTGTATTCCAGCATAATAAAAAATATGGTTTCTTACAGCTTTACAACTTAGTAAAAATTCTACATTGTTCTTTGACTGCTTCCATGATATAAACAGTCATCATATGCTTGAAAACATAATAAAAGTTATCTGATAAGTTGAAAAAATGAAACAGATTGAGCTAATTTCCAAAGCAATGTAATTAGTTACTAGCTGGAAGGGCTTTTCTGTGCATTACTTTGTTACAACCCGCAGGCACCATCAATAATGAAGGTGTTAAATGATTAATTTTTAAGATAAGTTATCATTATACAGTAGAATCCAGTAACAAGCTGCTGCATACCTCTGTTCCACAAGGTACTCACTGTATCTCTGTTTCTTTGTATTGACTCTAATTGGAATGCTATTGTAGATAAGAAAACATGGCATTGCGTTATAGCTAAAAATAGATGAAACAAGTCCTTGTATGCAATAGACTCCCAAAGCGAAGCTTTCCTGTTTCCCAAGGAACTGCTTTGATTTGTCCATCAGTAATTTGTTAAATAAACTGATAGGGTTTTATATTTGGACACAATGGGGTCAATTTGCTTAGAGTGTTCTGTATACTTACTGTGTATCTGTCTTATTGTATGTACAGCAGTAGAAGGTGTGTGAATATGACATAACATCCAATGGCTTACATTTGGGAATTTTAAATCATGTGGTCATTAGAGCATGATTGTAGATGTCTGCAGGGAAAATAAAACACAGCTTAATTAAAATGAATTGTTTATGAATAATTAGTTAAATAAGTAAGACAATGTTATTCAACCGGTGTCTGGAAAGTCAGAACATTTATACAGTCAATATGAGGTATAGAATATGCTGCCATGCAAATCATTGCTCTTTTAGTAGATACGTGTCAAGCTACTCACATAATTTAATGCATTTTTATTGCACCCATTTCTG